GCAAAATCTTATGAATTATTAATTATCATCTTTATAGAACATATTTTGCGCATTTTATTTTCAAGTATGTGTCAGCCTGATAATAATCAGCTGGATCGCAATATGACCTAGTTTCCAGCCCTTGTATGGGCCTTGTATTTGAATCAATACAAAAATAAAAAGACGTGATTGATCTGATTCTTTATTTTCATACATTAGCCTACATTTACTGTCGGTAACACAAATTTACGTGATAATAAATAAACATCAGACAAAAAGAGGTGGTAGCGCTTAGATGAGGAGTGTTTAACAGTGGACTGAAGAGAATTCCACTGTGTAATTAAATTAAGACTTCGCTCGATGCCGATACGAATAATGATTTAGATATGATTACATTTTTATGATGCCAAAACCTTGGTGCGTATCATGTGAATATTACTGGAGAAAACAAACATGGCAAAAATTTTCAACTATCAGTATAATGTCTTTTGGTATGCCCAAAGATATCAATATTTTAAAAAATATTACGTTTATTCTCGGCATTTGTTTTGCAACATAAATACATGGCAATTTCAAAATTGTTCAAAATTCAAATTCGTTAGACACTCCCTTCGCAGCATCGAGCGAAGTCTTAGCTTACACAGTGGAATTTTAATAAACTTTAATTGAACAACTATTCAGTATTTTGTATTTGCAAACTGACAGTAGGCCTAAAAGTAGTATTAAAATTCAGAAACTACTGAACCAAATCAATCACTTGCTTTAATTTTGCATTGATTCAAAAGAGACCGATACTAGGGCTGAAAACTAGGTCCCTCGTGATGTACCGCAGCTGAATTTTAATACCATTTCATTTAGGCCTACTGTCAGTCTGCAAATACAAAATACTAAATACAATAGAACAGCCTTTGGGACACCCCTATTCAGGGGACACCTTTAGTAAGGGGACACTTTTCCGTGAGGGGCGATACATCTTTTAACACTGCAGCCAACCCCTATTAAGGGGACACTTTCTGAGTGTACCAAATGGTCAGATAACCCCTATTAAGGGGACACATATTTTTTTCTATTGTATCACAACAAATACAAGTCTCAAAATAAGAAAAAAATCACTAAACTTTAAATATTGACACATTTAGAGAACTTTTACCACCTTTCTATTGCTGTTTGTCAAGGGCGAGCTTGCGGTAGATTACGTAATAATAATAATAATAATAATAATAATAATAATAATATTTTAACTGAAATTGCAAAAAGAATTTTGAACCAAGTAAAGTAATCCGTCTTTTTTGGTAGTAGATTGGTGTGTTTAAGTGTTTTCATGGTTTGTTGTTTTGCTTGTATCTGTTTAAGTGCTGTTCGGTTCTCTCTCATATTGATTTGATTTAATTTCGTATTTTGAGAATTTGTCCAGGTTTTTTCATGGTTTTTATTTTTATTATTCTGGTATATGTATGAATAACTTATCCTTTTTAAGGAAATTGTTCTATTGTTTTAAAGTTATTGTAGGCTTACTCCTTTACTTCTCTGTTACGGAGGTTTTCTGAATAAATTGAAATTGACAATTGAATTTTGAAATTTGAAATTTGAGCAATAAACCAGAATTTTCTCCCTAAATCCTTAGAGTGAATATCGGTTAAGGCATACTGCATGTGTTAGTTCGTATAAACCAATCTTGTCAATTTTGACCCTTAACCATTGGGATTTTTTTTTTTTATAGTTTTTCGTGCACTTTTATAGGATTCTAATTCATTCATTAACATTGCATCATGAAACAATATTGGGAACATATAAAACTATTGTTGTTTTAATTACATTTCTGCTGATTATATTTTATAAATGAATTGTATTTGCCTTGAAAATTATTGCTATAAATTAGTTATAAATTCTACTGTAACTAATTAGGCTATGTCAGTAAAAATAAAATTTTGAAAAAGTGTATATCATCGTTATATGAAAACATGCCAAAAACCCCTATTAAGGGGACAATTTCATGTTTTCGGTAAGTGTCCCCCTTAATAGGGGTACCGTATTCAGGGACACCCCTATTAAGGGGACACTTTTTTGGTCCCGAAGGTGTCCCCTTAATAGGGGTTCTACTATAGTTTTTGAATCAGAACAGCTCCCTGGTTCAATTAAAGTTGATTAAAATTCCACTGGGTAAGGCGAGACTTGGCTAGAATGATGCTGCGAAGCTAGGACTTCCAAAATTCTGCCCAATGTCCACTGGCGCCACCACTGTGCTTTACTATAAACGAGGTTTAACGCGAAGGATTCATCCATTATGATGCTCATCCGTCATGCAATAAGGCCTAAAAACAAATCGTATTGCCCAAGCACAATCTATCGTGAAAATCAGGGTCGGATGGTTTTATAAATTTTTAATGTTTTTTCCCGATTGTAACTCTGTCTTTTGTCATAAAGAATCCCGAGCGACGGACACTGATTTTTACATAAGGATAAGGATATATATCTGTTTGAGTGCATTCAGAAAAAACGCATGTGAGTGTATTTTGTGAGATAACTGATGCGTTGTGAGTGAATACAATTTTGGAATAGCCATGAAATCAGTATTATTGCAAAATAAATGCTGAGAATAACGTAATTGCTGGATCATCTTGCGTTTGAGGCAACAACATTGATATTTTGGGCCTATAAAAAGACATACACCAATAGTTGAAAATGTTTGTTCTGAACAGTTTTCTGTGATCAATATTCACGTGATACGCAACCGAAGGTTTGGCATCATATAAATGATGTTATCATATCTAAATCATTATTCGTATCAGCATCGAGCGAAGTCTTAGCTTACACAGTGGAGTTTTCCTCATCCACTGTTGAACATAATTACCCTCTTCTAAACTCTTCTATCTCTTTATGTCTGACATTTATTATCATGTAATTTTGTGTTCCCAACAGTATATGTAGGGCTAATGTATTAAAAGAATCTACTGGGTCAAATCAATCACGGGTTTTTTTTGTTTCATTGATTCAAATACAAGGCCCAAAGGGCTGTTATCAAGCTAACACAGACTTGAAGACATGTAGCGCATACGCAAAATGTGTTCTATAAGGATGATTATGAATATTGATCATTTTGCTAAACTATCCCTGAAAAAGAAATTTGCGCCCCGATGAGGTCGTCCAACCAAATAGTGTAAGGCCTAATTTCCCTAGCCATATAACCTTATATTTTAATTACCAATCCATAATATTGTGGTCTACAACACAATTTTGGGTCATACTAACTAGCTATAAATCTGTCCCTATGAACCCATTTTTTTTTTAATTTTGGGGCCCTGACCGATGCTCCTGTCGGCCCCTAAATGGTTTCGGACACCTGGCGGCAAGTTTCTGAAGCTACTTCTGCTTTTTTTGTATTACATGTATATGATCTTATGTTGAAGGTAATCACCTGTAGTATTATTGAAAACATAGTGGTACGTTTAATGTATTAAATTAAAAGTAAACAGCAACACAATGAGGCCTAGGTAAAGTTTCATAATTCAAAATTTAATATGGTATCCAAATTACTGGAAAAAAAGTTTAAATAATTTCTAATTTATCCTTCAAAGTATGTGTTACATCCTTGCCTATTTTTAATTAACTTCTTTATATAATTATATATAATATAATATTTTGTAGTTAGCATTTTTATAACCTTAAGTTGTACTCAACATTTTCTAGGAAAGTACTGTTTCCTTATTTTAATTTGCTTTATTTTGTAAAGCTCATAAATCTTATTATCTTACAGTATGCTATTGTCCTGTGACCTACAGTACAAGTTCTTTTACCCGTGGTCAGTATTTAATTAACGCAAGGTAAATGAACTGAGTTTGGTAACTCCAAGACTTGAATGTGATTTCGCATCATGGACATTTACTTTCAGTTGGTCCAAACCACTTATTTATTACCTTAATTAAGTATATGTTTATCGGACACTTTACTATAGCTTTTAAATGGTGGATTAGTTTGCTAAACTTGTTGGAATTGGTGCCCAGATTGGATAGGACCCTTAATATGCAAAGTGTCACACCCATCTTAAATCTTTATTACCTGGAACACTGTTATTTTGTCCGGCTTCAGTTCCTCTCTGATCTGCAAGTAAAGTACTTAAGTTGCTGCTCCAGGTTCTAACCACCACCGTCCTATAAGCTCATTTATATGTTTAATTTCTATCTTTGTTTAATTACCGTATTATAATCGCATTGTAAATAAATTATATATATTTTGTAAATACACAAAAGTTGTGATCTCTTCTCTGTTAGTTATTCTGAGCCGTAACGTAACAGTATGTCATAAATCTATAAAATGATAATGATACATTATTTAGCCTAGGATATATTTTAATTATCACTCGAGGTGGTATTTCTCCAAAGTCATCGGGATTTAATGTATTAATTGCTTTAAGATTCTTTTATGTTAATATTCGTTGCATATGTCTGTGTTTTTCAAACGTTTTTTATGCGTAAAGCTTATGCTTGCTTTTCAATATATCGTGTTTATTTTATTTACTATATGTATTTGTATATTTAAAATGGATGAATGGAAATATAATGAAATTATTGAAGTTAATTGAATTGACATTTCTATTGGTCAGCTTTCCCCTGGCCCCACCAAGTTTCGTCCTCTCCTACTGGCTTTGAAAGGTAACCTTCCTCAACAAACACTGGTTATGGGCATTCTCTCATCTAGCAAATAAACATAACATATATTACAATACGACAATAACAGGTGAAAGGATTTGAAAGACGAATTGAAAGTAGTATACGGAATGTCTTCGTAACATAATCTTTTTTTGTACAACTATTGATAATAATTAGAACATTTATTTATTTATTGAACGAATAATTTCACAGCGCTATCTACACTAAGTTTTAAACCATGTTACAATAAAACATTGGGTTTGTGATTGTATTATGATCAAAGCCAATGATAAATTTGTCATTTGTGATTAGAAACTTTCCACCCCTTTTTAGGAAATCGACCTTGCCAAGTGACACTTCCTTTTTGTCAACACCGCACTGTACAAATATAGAAAATATTTTGTGGTGCCGGGACAACAGTGAGTAGTAGGAGATAACAGGGCATGGTTTGCTGTATTACCGTATTCAATATCCGTAAGTTTTATAAACAATTTAATATGTTAGGTCTACTGTACTGTAAACCACCATCTTAAAATTGAACTTAGTGTATCAAGGAACAAGGTTTTTTACCCAATTGAGAACTCTGGCTTTCAAACTAAAAATTCTCTTATCTAACTGGAACGCTTGCGTGGGTACCCCTCGCGCAGATATTAGGCCTAGAATTCCACACACGCATTTCAGAAAATTAGGCATTGATCTAATTTACCGTCCCACCGGTGTACTAACTAAGCAGTAGTACGATTCTCCGCACCTATTTTCCTAGCGATTTTTCGTTGGTTTTGAGATATCTCCACGCAAATAATATGTTTTACAGAGTGGGGTAAGTACAATACAACTACGTTGGAAGGTTTGTATACAGGCCTACACCAAATTTAGTTTAAAAGGAAAGGACGTTCTCTGAAACCTTCGGCCGTTGCCAAAAGTTACTCTGGAGCGGCATCGGTGTTTTTTTAATGACATAATTAGGCCTAAAATAGTTTGTTATTAATTAATGTATTTTTAGGTCCTCTAGGGGTGAATGTATTCAAAGACTGGACTTTGCGATGTTTTTTTTTTTACACATACCTTTTTATTTAAAGAAAAATTATAATATTTAAAGTATGTATTGTATTTGATTCCAAGTGAATTCAGTGTATCAAATATTGGAACTTTTAATTAATTTTTTTAAAGTTGTATACGCGAATTTAATGATCTATGCAGCAAGCCTATTTTGCTTGCGTTTGTACTTAAAAAAGACGCAAGAGTATTGTTTTGATTCAAAATAACTAAACAAAGGGGTTTGTTTTTATATAAATAGGCTTAGGCCTACATATATATATATATAATATGTGTTACCATAGGATAAAGTTTAATTCGTAAAATTCAAGAAAAAACCCATAAACATGAGTATACATAATATAAGGTAAGATTTATTTACAACATTGAACATCTACAGGTACAAATTATATGCAACTTAGTATGCTCTTACATTATTGTCCCATGAAAAAATCCAAAAACAATCACATACAAATCATTTTTTAAATTAAATTGCTCATTTTGGAGTAACGAAAACATTATCAACTTGTACACAGAATTTAGTTTATTTAAAAAAACTTTCCGTCGCTTGAATGTTTTTAATATTATTCTCATTATCCAGTATAAAATCAGTGTATACAGTTCTAACATTTTAATAATTTCTATGCTCAAGTTACTGCAAAATGATTTAATTAAAAAATATTTGTTTATGATTTTTTAAAACAAACATCAACATATTCATACAGAGAGATTTAATACCAGAATAGAGTGTCTATATTATGAGGAACATTTAAAATAGGAACGTTCCAAACCAGATATCTCAAAAACTGATAAACTGATCTTGAATCAGACTTACTGAAGAGTTAGCCAGGTTACAAGGAAAACATGATTAGATTTTAATGATTATCCAGATTTGGGTGTGGATTTGGGTGTTATTTAAAGTACTAATGACCCAGACCTAAATATCTAAAAAAATAGATAAATTGATGTGAATGAACATTTTAATTCGGATGGTTTGTCAAGGTCCAAGGGAAAAATAACTAAATGTTGATGGCGATCTCGAGTAGGGTTTGGATATGAAGACTATTTAAAGACAAACGTCCCAGACCTGATATCTCAAAAACTGATCAACTCAGCTGGATGGAGCTTTCTGCAATAGTTAAGCAAGTTACAAGAAAGAAATGATTACATTTTGGTGAAGATCCAGATTTGGGTGTGGATTTGGGGGTCATTTAAAGTACTAACAGGTTTCTTGAATAAGGTTGATTGTACCTAATATACTTGAACTTTGATTCATTTGTGTTAGTTGTAAACATTTATGACGACAATCCTTTACTGAACAAACATGAAGATTGTTGTGGTATCTCTAGGCCATTATGAAGCACTTACAGTACCGTAGTTAACGATCAGGCCAGAAGATCATAATCCCAAAGACCATTTACTCTCAAGTTAGTCCACGGTATATAATTTGAACTGTTATTATTGACTTTTCCTACCAGATGCAGGAAAGCCATTGTTTAGATTTTTTTTTTTAAGTTAAGTATTTTTATTTCTGCCCGGCACTTTGGTCACTTTCCATGCTTGGATTTTTCCCAAAGTTTGTCCAAGCATATACCATATATACTACTTCTTCCTTAAAACAAGTCCAATGAACATTTATTAATCATATAGGTCTCTGGCCCAAATAATATACAACGTATAATATTAACAAAATTATAGTGCATCTAAATATTCTGTTCTACGATTAAAGGAGTAAAATAAGCATTTTGATAACTTTGAAATGAGATCAATATTTTTAGTAGATATTAAATGAAGAAATTTAAATTTAGAAGGACTATTTGCGTAAAAAGTAAATAGAAACTTAGTTCCAATATCTGAATAAAAAGGGCAAACTAAGGTAAAATGATATTCATCTTCCTCTTTAAATAATATTCATCTTCGACTGTTTGTAAGGAACATAATTTGCATAATGTTTCATTTATATTAATATTATTTTATCTTCCTCTTTCTAATTCTAATATCCTCAATCTTAATTTAGTTAGAATTATTTATGTCTGCAATTGTCTATATTTGTTAGACAATCATGAACTCTAAATTCATGTTTAATTTGTGAATATAATTTTAATGTAATTTAATCTTAACACCTTTGATTCTCAATGTCAGTTAAGCTTTGCTTAAAATTAAATACAAAATCATTAATATCATTACCTTTTGTGCATGCCATATATTATCTCCAAACCCAATGGAACATAATAGTTTTTTTTTAAATCTAAGGTCCAACAAGTTTTCATATGTATTACTCTTAACCAATAACTAATAACGTTAACAAAACATGTAACATGTATCCTCTAAAACTAATACTGGTTGCTCAGTTGCCTACTCATATGTAGTTACAGAATTTCATTTGTATCTTGTCGATAGATGAAACATTTTCCAAACCCCACATTTCACTGCCATAGAGTAAAATCGGTAATATTTTAACATCAAAAATATTATTCAATAATTTAATCAGTAAATAACAAAACGTCCATGATTTACACCCTTCAGTGCAAATATAGCTTTATTCGCTGGTTGACAATTATTTTCTTTGGCTTTATTCCACTTACCATTTGAATTACACCCTTCAATGCAAATAAGCTTGTTGACAATTATTTTCTTTTGCTTTATTCCATTTACCATTTGAATTTAAAGTAACTTATAAATACTTATATGATTTGATAATTTCGATTGTAGTCACATTGTAATTCCATTTTTCAAATTTGTATCACAGATATGCCTCCTAAAAATTAGTGATAGTTCGGAGTAGGGTGTGGATATGGGGACTATGTATATGTATAGGAAAATATAAGGAAACACTCCACACTAAAGTAGATTTAAATGAAACTTCCCATAATTGTTTGTCATGGTCCAATGCAGAAATGATTACATTTTTAATGTGTAAAATGTGTTTATGAGGACCATTCAAAGAGAAACGTCCCTGACCAGATATACCAAACGAGTCAAACGCCTTTTCAAAATCTACAAAGGTGACATAAAGTGTTGTCATTCCACTACCTTCTCAATGATACTCCTCAACACAAATACCTGCTCTACTGTATGTACTCATACAGTACTATATTGTACTACCTCTTCTAAACTCTGCCTGCTCATCTCTCATTTTGCTGTCGATTCCATCCATGATTATGTCGGCAGTACTCTCCCATACACTTAACTTGCACGGATGTTAAAGTGATGCCCCTGCAGTTGTCACATTCTGTAAGATCTCCTCTATTTGGCATTTTCACAATAAGTAAGCCCTTGCTTCCATACGTTTGGCTTCCTCTCTATCACATATGACCTTAATCAGTGCCTCCAGTTACTCTGTGACAATGGTTATATCCGCTGTATTAGTCCACCGGTTATTCCATCTCCCCCACCTATTTTTCCATTCTTTATCCTTTTTATAGCTTCTCTAATCTCTGTTTTGCTAATGTACTTGGTACTGATGTTTTTGTTTTTTAACAGTTATGCTATTAAATATATTTGCCTGCCGCAGCAGGTTGTATATTCAGGAGTTTCCTTCCCTTAGTCACTCTAATCTCTGTTTTGGTAATGTACTCGGTACTTATGTTTTGTTAGCCTAGTTGGTTTCCAGGGTGCCCCGCAAGGAGGTGAGGTTGGCTTGTGTGTTCAACAGTCAAACACCCCCTACACTCATGACGATCTTGATGTCAATGTGGGTCATTCAAAGGGAAACTTCCCAGACCAGCTATACCAAAAACTGATCAATTGATCTGAATGAAACTATCTGGAAAATTTAACTTAGCTAAATACTGATTATAAGATAACGTCATTTGTACTTACAAATAGATTACAATGTGTAATTAAGTCAGTAGTTAATAATGATCAAAACGTTTTCGTAAAGGTCGTTTTGGAGGTGACAATATAAGGTAAATTGAAAACTTGATTACGTACATGGTTAACGAACAACTCGAAGGCGCCCTCTTGAGTCTAGACTTAACAAAGGCCTTCGACACTGTTACTATAACTTTTTTAATTGGCGCTCTGCATAAATTCTATTTTTGGTAAAACATTTATCAAATGGGTATAAACAATGCTTTATGATACAGAATGTGAATGGTTGGCTTTCTGAAAGCTTCACTATGCACCAGGGTATTAGGCAGGGATGCCCGTTATCGCTTTTCTATTTATTTTGATTGCAGAAGTACTGGCTACTAAATTAAGAAACGATAATACTATTAATGGCCTACCCATTCCATCAGGAAATGGATCTTATGAGGAGATTAAAATTAGAATTGTCAAATCCCTAGCACTTTCGAAAACTCCAGCATTCTTCGGGTACCCGAAAATGTGATTAACGAATTAAGTCGAAAGTTTGATTTTAAAGTTTATTTTGAATTTAAAAAAAAAACACAAAAATTAAAAAGAAAGGTCATGTGCCAATTATGGACAAGGTTCTC